GGAAGTGAAACCGAGGACGGGGAAACCACGGGAAGTGACGAGTTAGAAAGCTAGCCATTTCGAGATTGATATAGATTTTAGAAGTAAATCATGATCTTGTAAACCAGAGTGTATTTGGAGATTTATGATATCAGAGTAAATTTTAAAGATTTAATCTTCAGATTTTGATGGTATCAAAGTGTGATATGATAAGTTCCGAGTCTTGTGCATTTGTGGGACTCTTTCACGAGTGCACGGCATCTGTCGTGCCTTGAATTCGGGTTCTGGGGCGTGACAAGCTTAGTCTATGAGATGTATGGGAGAAATAATCAACCACGTTTTCGAGGGCAAATCAATCATCCTTTCTAAACTCCAACTTATCAACCTTTGGCTTTTACGAGTTAGCCAAGGCCAACTTATGCCTCTTGGACCAATCGTCCACAACAAGAAAAGGTGAGACGGCATTTTGACAAGCTTCCTTCGTCATATACTAAAGTGTTTTGATAATTGTTAGCAGCTAGTCTTGTTACTCTCGTACCTATGGTGCCAGTAAAACCACCATTTCCAGCATGGTACAACCCACAAGTAAGATGTGAATATCATAGTGGAGGTGCTGGGCATGACCTTGAAAATTGATTGGCTTTAAGGTACCATGTTTAAGATTTGATAGATGCAAAAGAGTTACAGATTGCATCAGAACCTGAGGTTGTTGATCCGAATATCACCAAATGTTAGGTTCTCTTTGTATTTTGATGATGATTTAAACCATAATTGAAAAGAGTTTAATCTATTTTTGTGCTAAGTGTGCAGGAAAATTAATTCAAGGATTTTAATCTTTTCCCACGATTATAATTAATTCATGTTCTCCTTGTTCAGAGTTCTGGGTTCGAATCAATTTAATTTGATTTGAACCAATCTTGAACTTCTTTTTTTTCGAAAATGTTTCGAACCATTATTTCTAGCTTCGAAGCAAAAATTTTGGAAGGTTAAATTTTGACAGCTCAACTATCCATTTTTTCTTATTCTTAATGGGCCTTGGGGGAACCAATTGTCTGAGCACTTTCCAAAGTCAAGTCAGAGTTAGTAGAATAAGGTGGAATCTAATTGGAGCATTAGTGAGGTGGCTTTGAAGGGCTAAATGAACTTTAATTGTAAGGCTCCAAATCTACTATTAAAAAGATCATAAAATCAGATTTGCATATAAATGAAGAAGGACAAACTGCTATAGTGTTACAGAAAACAAAGTTTGAAATTGTTCTGGATCTCCTTCTTCTTCTTCTTCTTATGAGCTTTTGGGTTAATTATCTTACAAGAGTTTTGTATTCTTCTTGGATTGTGATAATCCTTGAAGGGGTTCACTGAGTTGAGATTCACTTGTGAGGGTTTAATCTTGCACCCACAAGCAAGAGTTTGTTTCGGTTTAATCTTGCACCCGTAAGCAAGAGATTTTTAGTGGATTGAACTCTCGAGCAAGGAGGCTTGGGGAGTGGACGTACTCCAAGTTGGAGGAACCACTATAAATCACGGCTTGATATTCTCTTCCCTTTTTTATTTTTATTTTTCTGCACTATATTACTCTTTGTTTATCCTGCACAACAGCTTATAAATTGCGAATTTGATTTAAGTTTTGAGAAAAAAAGAAACAAGTTTTTAAGTTCGAATTAATATGACCCAATTCACCCCCCTCTTGGGTAGCTAGTTGGGATTACACCTAAAACACCTAATCAACACATAATGGTCCAACAATAAACATGATAATAAGGGATTCAAATTTTGAAAAAGACTTTGATAAAGGTCATGACTTGACTATAGTTACAATTACCAATCAAGTGTTATCAACTCCTAAACAACCTTTAATATTGAAAGGGCCAACTATTGCAACCAATGTAAAAAAGCCATACATTTTGAAAGGAAGCAAGCAAGCATCACCTTCTCAACAACCACCTTTAACTCTTTATCCACCATCAAAGCTAGCCTTCAATTCTTATAAAACTGTTCTTTGGAATTATAGGAGTAGCACTTATGTCCCTATACAAGAATTCCTTGTTAAAGATATCTCACTTATGACTTGAAGTGGGGGCAGTTATGGAAGCGTGGAAAGACAATGTAAAGAGAAGGAGTCACAAAAGGGAATCATTATTGAGGAAATACATGAATAGCAAGTCAAGAAGTCTGTTTCAGAGCAAGAAATAAATGATTTTCTTAGGATTTTGAAAAGAAGCGAGTACAGTGTGGTGGAGCAACTTAACTGAACTCCTACTAAGGTTTCTATTTTACAACTCTTGTCGGAATTAGAGACCCACCGAAATGCTTTATTGAAGATCTTGAATGAGGCTCATGTGCCAAAGGATATTGATATTGAGAAATTTGGCAATGTGATAAGGACTATTCTTGCACCAAACTTTATCAACTTTATTGATGATGAGATCCTTGAAGATGGAAGAAGACACGTAAAGGCTCTTCGCATTTCAGTTTTTTGCAAAGACATGCATGTCCCACGAGTGCTTACTAATAATGGTTTGACGCTGAACGTTATTCTTCATTCAGTTTTGAATTAGTTTTATGTGGATCAGTCATACATTAAGCCTTGTAAGATAGCAGTTCGTGCTTTTGATGGTATAAGGAAAGAGGTGGATGGAGAGATCAATTTACTAGTCAACATTGGCCCATATATATTTGACATAACTTTTCAAGTTATGAATATTGAGCTTGCATTTAATATATTACTTAGAAGACCTTGGATTTATATGGCTGGTATAGTACCTTCTACTTTGCATCAAAAGCTGAAATATATTGTGGGCAATTCTTTAGTTATGGTGAATGGTGAAAAGGATTATGCCATCCATAAGGCTACATCTGTGCCATATGTAGAAGTAGAATCCCAAAACCAAGAAGCAACTTACTACTCTATAGAGTTTGTCTCAACCACATATGTTGCGAAAGGCTCAGTGTTAAGAACACTAGACCTTTCTAGAGTGAGTAAAGGAGTTGCTAAGGTAATGTTGGAAAATCATTTTGAAGTTGGAAAAGGCTTAAGAATTGGACTGCAAGGAATTGAGGAACCAATTGAGGTGATTGATATATCAATAGGGTTTGGCTTGGGATATAAGCCCACTTGGAAGGATTGGTTGTGGATGAGGACCAAGAAAGCTGAAATGTGTCGGGCTAAGCTAGAAGGGAAAGAACCAAATGATGAACAATTGTATATTTCCATATTTGAGCAACTTTTCCAAAACCTGTTGAAGTTGTGTATGGATATGAAATAGTCAATTGACATAACACTCAAAAAGGAGAATTTGAGAAGTGATTGGATTCCAATTACTTATAATGATGAGGTGATTGTAGAGGATGCATCGGATGATGAAGATATGGGAGCTTTTGATTTATTCAAGTCTTTAGTTTCAACACATAATGATGGTTCGAGCACTTCTTTTGAAAAGTTAAGTATATCCGTCATTTATGAAGGGAGGGATGATGACAAGGTTATTCTGCTTGCTTTGGGTGAAACATTAGACAACTGGACAGTAGAGATTCTTCTTGTTCCTATCATTAAATTGTAAGATGTGTCAATCTTCTTGTGGTTGAGCTTGTGATCATGAGAAGAAATGATTAAAACAAGCCTTTTATATTTTATGAAGCATTGTTGGCATGACAAATAATGTTCCCATTTAGTTCATTTCAATAAATGATGTTACTTTCATTTTATTCCCTTTCTTTGTATGTAAAATTATTCATTCTCTTTTGTTTATTCAATTTTATTATGCTAGCCAAACCTTCTATCTCTAGGTTTGTTGATAACAAATCCACGAATAGTGATGTCATTCTTGAACTTACACATAGCTTTGATGAATTGATTTATTCTATGGAAGATGATGATGAATTAAAAACTTTTCCTAAATTGATTGACATGTTGAAAGAAGAAGAATCAAAATTGCAGCCTAATTAGTCTAAAATAGAAACAGTTAATTTGGGAACTGATGAGAATAAAAAAGAGATTAAGAATAATTGGCAGTTACATCCAGATGAAAGAAAAGCTTTTGTTGATTTGTTAAAAGAGTTTCAAGATGTGTTTGTTTGGTCTTATGAAGATATGCCTGGGTTAGATCCAAAGATAGCAATTCATGCTATTTCGCTAAAGCCAGAATGTCTACCTATGAAGCAAAAGTTGAGAAGAATGAAGCTAGAAACTTTGTTGAAAATCAAAGAGGAAATGAATTAAGCTGCTAGATGTAGGGTTCATTGAAGTAGCCATGTACCCTCAATGGATTGCCAACATTGTGCCCGTGTCGGAAAAAGATGGAAAAGTCAAAATGTGTGTGGATTATAAAGATTTGAACAAAGCAAGCCCAAAGGATGACTTTCGTTAACCACATATCCAGCTGCTAGTTGAGAATGCTACCAAAAGTGTTAAATTCTCATTTGTAGATGGTTATTCTAGTTATAACCAGATCAAGATAAAGGAGGAAGATAAGATCAAAACCACATTCATCACTTTGTGAGGCACCTTTTGCTACAAGGTAATGCCATTTGGATTGAAAAATGTAGGGGCAACTTATTAAAGAGCAATGATTACTTTGTTGCATGACCTCATTCACAAAATCATTGAGGTTTATGTAGATAACATGATAATAAGGTTTGGAGAAAATGAATACCATTTGGTGAATCTTAAAATCGTTTGAAAGATTAAGGATGCACCAACTAAGGCTTAATCCAGTAAAATGCACTTTTGGGGTAACATTTAACAAGCTCCTAAGGTTTATTGTTAATAGAAGAGAAATCGAGATAGACCTTAACAAGATCAAAGCTATTGAAGAGATGTCTCCACCAAAAACAAAAAAAGAGGTGTGTAGCTTCTTGGGTAGGTTGAATTATATTAGTAGATTCATTGCTTAGATGACAACTGTTTGTGATCCAATCTTCTAATTGTTGAAGAAGAATAATCCTAGTGTGTGGGATGATCAATGCTAAGAAGCTTTTGACAAAATTAAGTGATATGTGAAGAATCCTCCAATTCTTGTGCCACTAGTGGCTGGAAGACCATTGATTCTTTATATGATTGTGTGGGAAGGTTCCATGGGGGCTGTTCTTGCACAACATGATGATTTTGGTAGAAAGGAGTAGGCTATTTATTATGTTAGTAAAAAGTGTAATGATTGTAAAAGTAGGCATTCATCTCTGGAAAAGACATGTTACACATTGGCTTGGATTACTAAGAAGCTTCATCATTATATGCTTTCCAATAATACATGGCTAATATCTCGAATGGATCCCATCAAATATATATTTGAGAAACCTTCTTGGTCTAGAAGAATTGCTCGATGGCATATGTTGTTATCAGAGTCTGAGATTATTTACATGACCCAAAAGGCAGTAAAAAGGCAAGTCATCGCAGACCATCTTGTAGAAAATGTAGTTGAAGATTATCATCCTATTGATTGCGAGTTTCCTAGCGTAGATATAATGGCAATGGAAGAGAGCAATTGTGAAACTTCTAATTGGAGGATGTATTTTGATGGAGTTGTGAACCAAAATGAAAGTGGAGTTAGGGCAGTTCTCGTCTCACCTAAAGGAGAATATTTTCTGTTTGTAGTGAAGCTTGATTTTTTCTACACCAATAACATCATTGAATATGAAGCTTGCATTTTGGGTCTATAAGTAGCCCTTAATATGAATATCAGGGATCTTGAAGTTTACAGAGATTCTCCATTAAATCATATTTCAAATAAGGGGAGAATGGAAAACAAAAGACATGAAGTTACTGCCTTATTACCAATACCTTGATTCTCAAACTAAGAAGTTTAGATTTATCTCTTTTGAGTACATGCCTCGATTAAAGAATCAATTTGCAAATGCCTTAGCCACTTTGACTTCCATGGAGCAAATATTAGATGAACATTAAATTCAACCACCCTTGATAGATGTGCACAAGAACCCAACTTATTGCATGGAGATTGAGCAAGAAATAGATGGCCAACCTTGGTACTATGACATCATACAATACATCTTACGTAAGCAATATCTAGTTCATACTACTAACTTTAATAAAAAGACAATTCAAAGAATGGCCAGACGTTACTTCTTGTGTAAGGACACCTTATATAAGCACTCTACAGAGATGACTTTGTTAAGGTGTGTGGATGCTATTGAGGCAAAGAGAACCATGATGGAAGTTCACAAAGGAATATGTGGAACCCATGCTAATGGGCATATGCTAGCTAGAAAGATACTCAAAGTAGGATATTTCTGGTTGAAGCTAGAGACAGATTATGTTGATTATGTGAGGAAATGTCACAAATGTCAAATCTATGCAGATCATATTAAAGCTCTTCCATTCCCATTGTATGATATGGTAGCTCCTTGGCTATTTTCTATGTGGGGTATTAACGTCATTGGACCCATTAATCCAAAAGCTTTAAATGGTCATTAGTTTATTTTGGTTGCAATTGATTATTTTACCAAGTGGGTAGAGGTTGCTTCATATGCAAATGTGAAGAATAAAAGAGTGGCACGATTTATTCAAAGGGAGATTATTCGTAGATATGGTCAACCAAAAAAAATCATCACTGATAATGCAAAGAATCTTAATAATTCTTTGATGGCATCAATTTGTAAGTAATACAAGACTCAAAATTTAAATTCTACCCCTTATCGGCCTAAGATGAATAGAGCTGTGGAAGCTGAAAACAAAAACATCAAGAAAATCCTTGCAAAAATGATAGTAACTTATAAGGATTGGCATGAAATGCTACCTTTAGCTCTCCATGCTTATAGAACATCTATTCGAACTTCTACTAGGGCAACACCTTACTCTTTGGTTTATGGTATGGAGGTTGTTTTACCAGTTGAAGTTGAGATACCATCCTTGAGGGTTCTAGTTGAAGCAGAATTGGAAGAAACGGAGTTTATTCAGAAACGGTTGGATTAACTTAATCTGCTTGATGAGAAAAGACTAGTTGTACTTTGTCCTAAACAATGTTATCAAGAAAGAATGGCTATAGCATATAATAGAAGGTCAGGCCTCGAAGGTTTCAAGAAGAAGATGTTGTTTTGAAGAAAATCCTGCCCAAGGAAAGGGATCCAAGGGGAAAATTTGCTCCAAGCTGCGACAATCCTTACATTGTGAAGGCGGCTTTTTCAAGAGGAGCTTTATTATTAACTTATCTTGATGGTGATGATCTCCCATATCCAGTGAATGCAGATGCTGTCAAGAACTATTATGTGTAAAATAAAAAAAATAAAAAAAAGAAGCTAGGCTGAAAACCCAATAGGGCGGTTTAGGCAAAACAAAGAAGAGTATTCATGAGTAAGGAGTAAAGAATCCAATGACAAAAGGCTATTCTTCTTTATCCTTTAAAAATGAAATCATCCCTAGAAACCCTTTTTGAGCCAAAAGAAAAGGCAATCGTCAAACTTATAAAAGCCAAGATGATTTTTCTTTCTAAATTATCCTACATCAAGAGCCAGGGGTGAGAAGAGTGTAAGTGACGCGATTCAATGGGGAAAGGGGAATTTTGAGCCATTCTATCATTTCTTTCTAATTAGCCAAGCCTTAAACCACTATACAAGCCAATTTAAAATCCTTAAAAAAGGATTATTTTGCTTGCTCATCTATAAACACACACAAAAAAAAAAAAAAAAGGGAAGAAGAAGAAGAGAAGTAAGGGCAATGTCTAAGTTAAAAACCTGAAAGGGCAACTTAGGCTAATGATAGCAAAAAGATCTATTGAAAGGAAATAATCAAGAGGGGAAGTTTTCAACATGGCAGGATCCATGAAAGGGGAACTAAGACTGAGTCATTGACTTTAATATAAAAAGGGACGCCTTTTCAATGTGTTGAGAAAGGGGTGATATCATTATTGTGGAAGAATTGTTGAGCAAGCTTTTCTTGCCTTTTAATTGCTATATGTATTAAAGCTTTCTTCATACTCGATTCATTGTTTCATTTCTCCGTAATAAAGTCAAAAATTCCTTTTCGTATTAATTTTTCATTTCCATACTTTCTTTGGAACATTAAATAGTCAAAACTTGATGCTTCATTTAATATGATTATTTCATTCAATATTGCCTTTGATACACTAAAGATTTGTGATAGTCATAGGAAAATTTGAAGCTATTTAGTGTTCGAAAAAATGCTTAAGCTAGAAAAGTGATCATTTCCAATTGAAAAGAAGAGATAAGTTCGCATCTCAAAAAAAAAGAAAAAAAAAAAGAAAAAAAAGATGAAGACCACATCTCGTAAAAGATAAGATGAAGATTGCATCTTAAAAGTCACATCCTAGATGAAGACCACATCTTAGGAAGAAGAAGAGATGAATATCGCATCTTAGGAGTCACATCCTAAATGAAGACCGCATCTTAGGAAGAAGAGATGAAGATCGCATCTCACAAAGGATAAGATGAAGACCGCATCTCACAAAGGATAAGATGAAGACCGCATCTTAAAAGTTACATCCTAAATGAAGACCACATTTCATAGAAGATAAGATGAAGATTGCATCTTAGAAGTCTCATCTTAGAAGTCACATCCTAAATAAGGCTGCGTCTAAGGAAGAAAAGGAGATGAAGATGGTATCTCAAAAGTCACATCCTAGATGAAGACCACATCTCCAAAAGAAGTATAGATAAAGATTGCATCTCACAAAAGATAAGATGAAGATCACATCTCGCAAAGGATAAGATGAAGATCACATCTTAAAAGTC